GGGGGTGTTGGCAGGCATTTACCTGCTTTGCACTCTGTAGTTCAGGCAGCAGAGCACATGTCTTGCAGCAAATCAAGTTTAATCAACCAGCACATTTAACTAGCAGACATGCAGAGTTGTCAAACAGTGCAAAGCAGGCACAAGACTAAAGAAACAAAGATTTTTTTTTTGAAAAAAGTATGATTAACTTTGGACTTTGAACTTTGAACTTTGGATTTAGTAATTTAAGTTCATAACTTCATATATAACTTAAAAGTTTGAACTTTGCAGTCCAATTCAGAACGTCAGAGTCTTCAGACTGGCAGCACTGTCAGTGCTCTCTCTCTCTCTCTCTCTCTCTCTCTCTCTCTCTCTCCCTCCCCCAACGGGCCGCAGCGGCGGGCGCCACATTGAAACAGCCGCTTTGAAATTGCTCGAGCCTGTGCAAAACCCGCCACCTCAAAAACCTGCAGTGTCTTGTGTCTGGACCTCTAGGCCATGTCCGGTGGGGTGAAAGGACACTTAAAAATCACCCCGTTATTTTTGGAGGGGCCGCTAGGACCTGACAAACGTCCTGGGCTGCCCCATTTTTTTTTTTTGATTTTTGCCCCAGAGGCCTCCATCCGGACATGGGGACGGGACACCGGACTGTCTGGAACCCGGTCCGGACGTCCGGGCGGTTACCATGATCTGGACCCATAGACTTTCATTAGTTTTTGTCAGTGTTCTCTGTAAGTTGACTGACCCTATCACAACTATAGTCAGAGGGTGCCAATTATCTTTAGCCCAGTGTGACGAAAAATCACAAATCACCAAATCCGTTTCCGCCTCGGGCGGCAGCGGATCATATCCTGAAAACTTACTACGTCTGTCAACCATGCCATTACCTGGCTCTTCCCATTCCTACTCCTACCTTTCGTATCCATGAAATCAATGGACACAGACTCTCCAGGTCCTGACACAGTCAATGGACACAGACTCTCCAGGTCCTGACACAGTCAATGGACACAGACTCTCCAGGTCCTGACACAGTCAATGGACACAGACTCTCCAGACAGTGGTTTCAACAATCCTAATGGTGGCTGTATAGTGCTCTTATTCCGCTGGCACACTTTGCATCCCTGGATGTTCCGGATACTATCAGACCTCATCTATGATCGCATCAAGTTAGCATAGGTCTTACTCCAACCAAAGGGTCATTCTGCACCATGGCACTCTCCAAGTATAAATCTATGAATCTCTTCATCATTCGGGATACATAGTTGGCCTCCACCATCTGAAGTCAGGAACAAAAGTCCATCAGTCGATCTATACTCAGGTACTTCATAAGGTTTGTCTGTTGTCCTGGCTGGTATAGCACTCAAAATTGGGCCATCTAGACATGCAGCCTTTATCAGTTGCTCAATTCTTTCCCGATAATGATAAAACTATCAATGGTTCCAAAGAAGTCCGCTTTCCTGGACAATGCATCGGCTGCAACGTTATATTTCCTTTGACTGGCTTCAACTAAAGTCAAACTCATTGATCTCTCTGGGCCATCTAGCTATTTTTGTTGGCATATTATCCCTGGGTCTTCAACCACCGCAATGTCTCAGGTCTGAGTATAGTCTGAAGTGCCGTCCTAGGAGATAGTGCCTCTATGTGTCTGGCACCTCATGCGGTGCATACAATTCCCTTTCATAAGTAGATGCTGCGATTTTCTCAGAGGGCATCCACAGGTCTGTACCCATCTCCATCGTTTGGCTGTAGAATGGACCCTACTCCATACTGACTTCCATCAGTGATTATTATAAATGGCAACCAAGGGTCTGCAGGATGGTAACCGCCCGGATGTCCAGACCGGGTTCCAGAGTCCGGTGTCTGGTGTCCGGTCCCCATGTCTGGATGGAGGCCCCTGGGGCAAAAATAAAAAAAAAAATTGGGGCGGCCCAGGACATTTGTCGGGTCCTAGCTGCCCCTCGAAAAATAAAGGGGTGCTTTTTAAGTGTCCTTTCACCCCACCGGACATGGCCTAGAGGTCAGACACAAGACACTGCCGGTTTTTGAGGTGGAGAGAGAGAGAGAGAGAGAGAGAGAGAGAGAGAGAGAGAGAGAGAGAGAGAGAGAGAGAGAG